CGCCTCCGCGCCAGCATGCTGCACACCGCTCATGTCGATGCCCAGGTGCGCCGCGAGCGCGGCCCTGTGCGCATCGGCCTCCAATCGCACCCGCTTCTGCTGATGAACATCCCATTGCCGAGAGGAAGGCGCGTCTTCGTCGCCCTCCGCCCGCAATCGCGTTGCCAGCTCATGCAACTGATTCCGGGTCATCCGCGCCAACACCCCCGCGTCCACTCCGTCGCGCGCGCCCCCGCGCGCCCCCGGCGCCCCTGCGGCACCCTGCTCCGCACGGCGCTTCGGCGCTCCGCCCCGCAGCGCGCCACGCCCCGCACCCGCGCGCGGCGACCGCGACGCCGAGCTCGAACGCCCGTGAGCGACGACGCGACACCACGGCGCGCTCTCGGCTTCCCCCCACTCCACGTCACCAGAACCCGCGGACTCCTCCACCGCGCACACATGGCCGCCGTCAAGCCACAGCAGAGCACCAGCGCAGAAACCCGTCGCGTGCCCCAGTGACCACGCCACGCGCCCTCCCTCCTGCGCTCCGAACGCTTCCAAAGATTCCGCAGAGAACACGCGCACGTGCAGGAAGCGGGAGCGCAAGTGCTGGACCACGACCTCAAGATTCCAGCGCTCCACCAGCGACCCACAAGCGCCCGAACCCTCGTGGTTCTGGCACGCGCGGCCGAAATGCCCCGCGGCGTCGCCCCCCACGAGCTCAGCCACTGCGCTCTGCAGGCACTTCCCACGCCACTCGACGGGAGAACTGGCGCGCGCGCGGCGGTTCCCCCGCCCGCGTCCGCCGCGCGGCCGTGGGCGCAGCGGGCGCGCGGCACCGAATGCACCCGCAGACATGGGCACGGCGCCGTCCTGCGTCGCCACGCTGAGCCCCGCCGGACACGCTCCGAGAGCGATCATGGCGCAGGCAGCGCGCACGGCCATGTCCCCGACGAAGACCTTGGACTCCCGCGCAGCCCGGCACTTCGCTCCGCCAATCCCGACGCCGGGCGAGAACCGGCGCGCACAGACGCGGCGGCCGCCGCACGTCCGCGCCGAGAGCCCGTAGAGCGCGCAGCAGAACCACCTGGCGGTGACGACAGCGGCTGCACGATCGGCCAGCTCGGGCGCGTCCGGGAGCTCCCGCGCGAACACATCCCGCTGCCGCCACCAGCGCGCCGCCGCGATCTTCCTGGTCATCTGCTGTCTTCCTGTGGTGGGCACGCGCCGAGAGCGACCAGAACGCAAGCTGCGCGCAGGGCTGCGTCGCCCACAGTCCACGACGACGCGTCGGGCGCAGGCGCGGCGGCGGCGGCGCGGGGGGCGCGGGCCGCACGCGCGGTCAGGAACTGCTCCAATCGCCCGTTCTTGCGAGCCGCCCCCCGCGCGCTGCGCCCACGCGCGGCACGCTTTCCAGAGCGATTTCTGCTCGCGCTCCGCCGCCTCCAACGCGGAATCTTCGACGACCTCCTCGTGGATCACGCCGCGCTCTGCGTGCAAACACTCCTCCACCCGGTCATCCCATGCGCGCGACTCCCGGGCCGGCGCCGGGAGCTCCGCGCACCGCCTCCGAGAACCGGGACCGCCCCCCGCCGAGGTCCCGTCTCCGCGGCCCCGGTCCCGGTCCCGGTCCCGGTCCCGGTCGTCGCCGTCGTCGTCGTCGTCGTCGTCGTCGTCGTCGGCGCTCCTCCTCCTCCTCCTCCTCCTCCTCCTCCTCCTCCCTCCTCCTTCTCCTTCCTCTCCTCCTCCTCTCTTCCTCCTCTCCCCCCTCCCCCTCCCCCTCGTCCTCCTCCTCCTCCTCCTCCTCCTCCTCCTCCTCCTCCTCCTCCTTCTCCTTCTCCTCCTCCTCCTCCTTCTCCTCCTTCTCCTCCTCCCCCCTCCTCCTCCTCCATCTCGGCCAAAGCCATGGCTATAGCGGAAACTCGGACAGGGAAGCGGCAGACGTCGTCGTCGCCTTCGTCGTCGCTAGCAGCGAACGCGGAAATTTCCCCGGCAAGAACACGCTGATAGAAATCATTTCCCCTCAACCGGTTTTCGACGCTTCCGGGAAACCATTTGGACGCCTCCAGAGGGCCGTTTTCGACGCCTATGTCGCCCATTTTCTCCACGTCGTCCTCCTTCTCTTCCTCCTCGCCGTTGTCCGCCGGAGCGGGAAACCCGCACGGAAAATTCGCGTTAGTTCCACCCGCACAATGCGTTTTGCAGAAAACGGCGCGCCAACCGGAAAACGAGGCCGGACAGGAAAATGCCCGCGAAAATTTCACGAGTGTTTCCCTCTTCGAGCGCCCGTTTCAAGAAACCTCCGTGTCACTCGGAAAACCGCGCGCAGGGCAAGAAAACGCCCGCGAAAAGCGTTTCCCCCTCCAGCGTGAATTCCCATTACCAGAGAAATCAACGCCGCCCTCAGGATCACGCGCTGGACAGGAAAACGCTCGCGAACTTGGTAGCGTCCAAAACCCGGATAGCAAAGAGGCACTTACATAAACGAGCATACGCACATAAGCACGCACAAACGAACACACACATACAAACACATATACATACACATACGCCAGCACGCTCCACACACACACCACCCATACACACACACACACGCACACGCAACACATCAACACGCAAACGTCGACACACACGCGCAAACGCGCACGCACAAACACACAGCACATCTCACACACACACAGAGGGACGCGCACACGCACACCAATCACACATGCACATACACACACGGGGGCACACACAAACACTCACACGCACACACGCACACACACACACACACGCACGTACAACCCACGCACACAGACGCAAACGCAAGCATCCAGGGAAACCCACGCACTGACGACCACACGATGACGCACGCACCGCAGCCACCTCAGCGCCCCCCCCCCGCGCTCCCCTGCCGCCCCCACGCGCCCCCGCCCTCCCCGCCGGCGCTCCGGAGGGGGGAGGCTGGCTGGCTGGCTACGACTCTCACGGGCCTGACGGCCCAGTCGCAGTGTCCGTCTCGGCAGAGACTCTTATTTGCATGATCATGCGAGTCAAAACCGTGCCAAGCACACGGACAGATGACAAGAGCGAAGCTCATGAGATATCATCCGCGTCAAACACGCGGGCAGTACACGAGAAACCAAACTCTTATTCATCCGTGTGAGCACAATCTTTCACAATCCACGATCAAGTAAAGTAAGACTCAAACTCACCAAGCAAACGAACGATGTTGTGTACCGTACACTCTGCTGCGGATAATTCAGCCTGTGTGACTGTGCTCTCCGACGGAATCAACCATGCTTTTTCCCAGACGAGTTGCCAGGACACGGTCGAAAACTTTCCTTCGATCCTGTCGGACCTG